TGGTTCCCCCCAAGTATCCCAATCATCCCCTCTACATTCATACCCAAGCCTTTCATCAAATTCTCACCTTCTCCTTTCAAATTCAGCCCCCCTTGGATCATAACAAACTCCTCCCTTTCAAATTCAGCCCTCCTTTGATTATAATTATCCTGTTCTCTTTCGAATTCAGCACCCTTTCACTCATGTCCAACCCCCTCAAGCCTCCCCAAATATACTCTACCTAACTCCTTTCTAGGAATAGGCCCTAGGAGAGGCATTTTTTATGTTCCCTCCAAAATCTCCATCTCTTGATCTTCTCTTCGTGTGGTTGTCTTAGGGTTTTCCCCACTTTCCTGACTATCGACACCTTCCCTCACCTCTGACGGTGATATTTTGGTTTGGCCTTCGAGCACTTTCTTCAACATTTCTCCCATGCTGGAAAAATTTTCATCCATCATCTAATGGATGGCTGAAATTTGACTTTTGACTTATGAAAGTTGAGTGTAAAGATCTAAAATTTTAGTTTGTAATTGTCTGATCTCCCCTTCCAACACCTCTACTTTTCTTTCTGTCATGGGGGCATGGATTTAGGCACTAATAGCAAAGAACAACAAGCTTAACGCGAATTCTAGCTTCCAATCATGAAAAATAAGATCGGATATGGAATGCAGCAAAAGTGATCGAGGAAGATTTCTTAAACCCCTTCTAAATCCTTCCTAATTAGAGTTCTTGGATTGGGAAGGTGGGCGACTCGTACAGGAGGCGGAAGAGTTCCGCCTCTATTCTGCCTAAGCTGGTCCCGTATGGACTAGTTGGACCAGTCCAATAGACTGGTCTAACACTCTCCCACAGAACCTAGACGTCGCTAGGAAATCTTCAAGAAAAACTACAGTAAAACTCAAAACATTAATCTTGAAAATAAAGCCTATAATTAGCCCTAAATAATCTCTTCTAATTCCCCCCAAAATAGCCTCCTTACCTAGTATATTTAATCAAAGCATTGTTGGGCCCCACAAGGGTGGTCGAAACCACTGCTATTTCCGCCCCTGTTGTTATTCCAGCCCTTGTTGGATCGGCTGGCTGAGCCGGTTGCCCCCTCTCTTATCAGACTACTTTTAAATTTTAGAATGAGACTATTAGATTATACTAAAAGATATTGACAAAATAGAACATGGCTATAGAACTTGGAATGTTCCGAAAAGTAAATTAAAAGGCCTTTTTTTATCTTAGAATTACTAGAAGTAATTAATTGAAAATTTCAAAATATTATACAAGAAACCCCGGCCACAACTAATTACTTAATAAATTGGAACTCATGAAAGTTCTAAGGAATGACATCATATAAGAGGTGATATGATGCAGGACTAATATGCTTTAGATGGATGCGATAAGAACTTGCATGATTTTGATGAGAACAATTAACAATTAAGACTTTTAGTTACTAAACAAAAATAGAAAACGAAAGAGGGGTAGCTACGCTTAGGCCAAATCACATGCTAAGCACTTGAATTATCAAAACAATTTAGAATTTAAACAATATATGAATTTAGTAATCATTCAACAAAAATCCATAATCTAACAATGAGATAAGCAACATAGAAAGTACACTCAGATCCTTCGTTTACTAAGCGGAGGCAGAGGGCGAAGCACAAGAACTTTGCGATTAAATCACCACCTACAAGGTTAGTGGATTAGAAAGATAATTGAAGGGGGAAGAAGTTCACCCTTGTTGTTGTCCTAAAACAATTTGCCACTGAACGTTGGCAAGTTGCTCATCGATGGCTTCCGAAAGCATGAAGATGATGCGGTCGTACTCTTCAATGGAATTATTGATTTCCGGGTTGAAGTCGAAAAAGGTGGAGTGGAGGATGTTGACGTTCCCTTGCTCGTTGTAAGCGAATCCAGAGTTAAGTTCCGAATCGACCATTCATTGGTGTCAGAAGGGTTAATGTGTGGACGAAAGATTGTGGTTGCTTACCTTGAAGATTCCACTAGAGAGAAAGAAGTTTCTCCCAAGAATTGAAGTGGAGAAGAACGAATTGGTGGCCGGCCAAGGAAGGGGGCTAGGGAATTAATTTTGTTTCAGATTATGTGGAGAGAATTTAATTCAAACAGCTCCTTGATTAATCCCCTTGATTGAGAGGAATTAAGGAAGGGAGAGAGACTTGGGCGGCGACAAGAGAGAGGGGGAGAGGGATTTAATTTATTTCCAGTAGGAGAGACTATATTTGGAAAGAAATTAAATAGAAGGGGGTATGTGGATTTTGGCCAAGAGAGGTGGAGGGAGGAATAGGAATTATTGCCAAGAGAGCTTAGTGGAATTTTGAAAATAATTCCAATTGGATCCAAGAGGGGCCGGTGGCTATAAGGTGAGAGAGGGGAATTTAATGAGGCATTCAATGACTTCTTAAATTAATAATTTAAATTTGGAATGAAAGATGTCATCCCAATTTTATTCAAAATTTAAATATGCTATGAATTAACAAGTTTCCTAAAATAGAATTTACAAATTAGGTAACTTCATTAGTAGAGTTACCTAAAATATGCAAACTAATTTAGGAATGACTTGATGACAAGTGGAGATGGGGAAACCAAGGGGATGGGGCCGGCAGTGTGGTGGTTAGTCGTGGATGGTGATGGGGATGGGGGTCTAGCCGATGGGTGGTGTGAGGGATACTAGGGTGGCCGGCGGCTTAGGGGTTTGGGAAGACCCTAGGCCAGCGGCTAGTGGATGAAGGGAAAGAAGAAAAAGAAATAGAGAAGAAAGAACCATGAACCCGAACACTTTCAAGGTTGGTGGGTGATCAGTTTTCCTCTCCAAGGGACCTCACTCCAATCTCTCTCAAGCTCTCACAAGAACTCAAACACGAGAAAATTTTGATCAATCATTCATTAAACATGAAAAGAGAACATAAGGGCTATATATAGCCTCATACAAAGGACTCAAAATAAAAAGATGATGATGCCCTTTGGGCTTACACATGACCTCCCTTAAGTAAGGGGTCAGAACAGAAAATAATAAAAGCAAATATAAAATACTAAAAGACAAATACATAATAATACTAAAAAATACATCGACTCGATCTTGGCCATAGATCGACGGCCATGTCTCTGATAGACTTTCCAAGCTCCGATGTCCCCATCATGATATCTGCTCTCCTAAATGCTTGAAGTTTACAATGGAGTAGAGATATTTTAGATACCCTCTTATTAGTTCATTACACCTTTGCCTAATACCCTCTCGGGCTACACATTATCTGTATAGTCCGCCACTTATTAATCACCTTTCTACCTATCTAACATCTACAGCCATTAATGTTCTTCCTATTGCAAGTTAAAATGCTCCTCGTGAAAAGCATTTTATAAAAATTCACATTTTAGCAATATCGATGTGAATTTTAGGGTATTTTTGTTTAAGTGTAGCTTTTATCTTATTTGATCACCTACTGAATTTCAAAATATATAATATTATTTTTGGAAAATTTATGGAAACTTTTGTGTTCATGACAAGTTTTTCTCTACTACATCTAAATTTTTTTTATAAATTATGCCTTGGACAACTTACAGCTTTTATCACTTCTTTCCCATCATGAATTGCTTAATTGCTTGAAAATAAAAATTATTGATGATGAACGATATGTACTAGTATTGCAAGTTATATGTAATACTACCTTATTTACTTTTAGTTGCTTTCTTCTCTTCCGACACCCTCTACTTGCCATTTTCCCTCTCTAACCCACAGCCACCCCTCTTTTCTGCTCTCCTAAATCATTGCAGTTTAATATAAAGCCCTTTGGTTGCATCTCTATTTTTTCCTTTAAACCGGGCTTGTGTCCAGAATGTTGTTTTTTTTTATTTTTATGTGTTTGTTATCCCTTTAAACCGACAGAATGTTGTTTTTTCCTTTAAACCTACTTGCTCTATTTTTTTTTCTATTCTAGATCCACGTAGTGGGATAAAGGCTTGATGTTGTTGTTGTTGTTGTATGTGTTTGTTATCGTGGAAATATTTGTAATATCTGACATATTTGTATTTTTTTTTACTTGTCTTTTAGTTGAAACTTAATCTGCATATGAATTTATTTGTTTCTAACTTGTTGACTCCTACAGTTTCATTTTTGAGCCTCTGTAGCTTCTGTCATTCTTATAGGAAATTAGAGAAACCTGAAACTCTTATTAGATTTGTGATATACATTTTAAATATAGTGTTGTAAATTGTACACAAATAAGTTCTAGCGAAGTGGCGGAGATCCAGCATTGTTCTCCTATTTCGTTCGTCAATTCTATTTGGGATTTCTATGAAGCGCAAATTATATTATAAGAGCCTATAACTCTAACTAGAACAAGGTATCGAACCTATAGTTCTCTTCCTATTTTTGTCTTTGGATCTAGAATAGAACATAGAAAAGGGCCCTTTTCAAATGAAAGAAAAAGATGGAATTGTTCTTTCCGGCTTCAGAAACTAACTGTAGAATTTAGTTCCCTTGGTATGATGTGCCTTACTCCTACTTTTATTCACGCAATCCATAAACTCTCTCTTCTGTTTCCAATGGTTTTTCTGGACTTTAATAAACTTTAATAGCTTTTTTAAGGTATTAACTGCTAAGATGGCAAACAAGGAATGTGGAAGGAGGCTCTGTTGTGTAGAAATTGGTGCAGAAATTGATGATTTAATGATTTCTTAGCAATGAGATATGGGCATTTCAACAAATGGCCAAAAAGTTGTCTTTTTTGTTGCTTTTTTTTCCAAGTTTAGTGGTCGTAAGAAATAAATGAGAAATTCGTGTATTATGCAAACATCTAGACAAAAGTTTGTAGATCATAGAAGAATGATTCAGATCTGCTTTCTAAAATTATTATATCCATTGCTACTTCAGCTTGTAATTCATAGTTATATTCTATGTTCATGCATGAAGACTGAACTTTAATTTCTTTTACTGGCGGATTTTGTTCTTATGAAAGCTATTATTTCTAAGCCAACATAATAGCCTGTTCATTTGCTTTTTTTCCCCTTGGAATCAGGATTGACATCCCAAAAAAGTCTTTCAGTCCCCCTCGTGAGGTACATGAGCAAGTTACCCACTCCATGTCACCCCAGAAGATTGAGATCTTCAAGTCATTGGAGAATTGGGCAAAAGATAACATCTTGGTGCATTTGAAGCCTGTTGAGAAATCATGGCAGCCTCAGGATTTTTTGCCAGATCCCTCTGTAGAGAGCTTCCATGACGAAGTTAAGGAACTAAGAGAACGGTCAAAGGAAATTCCAGATGATTACTTTGTTGTCTTGGTTGGAGATATGATTACAGAAGAGGCTCTTCCTACTTATCAAACCATGTTGAATACCCTTGATGGTGTCCGGGATGAAACAGGTGCGAGTCTTACTCCTTGGGCAGTTTGGACTCGGGCGTGGACTGCCGAAGAAAACCGGCATGGAGATCTCCTCAATAAGTATCTGTACCTTACTGGAAGGGTGGACATGAAGCAAATTGAAAGGACGATTCAATATCTGATAGGCTCTGGAATGGTAATACATACTGACAGCTGCATTATTGCTGAATACTATACTCAATCGTTTTCTTTTTCTTAATTTCTGCTATTTTTGCAATGCATTTGAAGCCCTCTTTGCTTGGAGAAAAATTATTTATTTTTCCAGTAATAAGTTCATAATTTACTGTGTGCATACTGCAATATAAAATATGTATGAAACATCACTTTCTGCTAAAACAGCATAAAAAACATTGGTTATATTGCAGTTGAGTTTGAACAGAAAGGTTCCATTTGATGATTGCATACTCACTATTTTAGTGTGTGATGCTTTCATATTGAGAAAAAGTTACTGAATTTACTTGCAAATGCACCTTTTCATTACTTCTATTTGGTTGTATTAGGCTTCGTTTGGGACGGCTTTTTTACTGTTTATTAAAGTAGCTTTTTAGTCAGTTTCAAACGAAGCCTTAATTTGAATAGAGAAGCATTTATGCATGGAAAAATGGCATGGAAATGATTTTTTTTCTTCTATAATTAGACCATTATTTTTATTTTTTCTTTCTCTGCATAATTCTGCATCTTGAGCCTTATCATGATGAAGTCACTTGAAGAGGAAGACAGGTTGCCAAATGTTATGATCTTCATATCATGGAAGAAACAAATTTAAGAATTTGCATAACAGAATTGAGAGATTAGTTATGTGCTCTTTTATTTAACTGTGTATAGGGAATTAAAAAGCCCTATTTTCTTTTGTAGAGCAGTCCAAATTGAGATCTTTGTCTCAACCACAAAGCATTCAGATTGAGAATTCCTTTCTAATTTGCTTGATTTTAATTGCTGAGATTGTTTATTTAGCTGATGGATGGATTGCTTCTTTTCTATTGGTATCATAGGACCCAAGAACAGAGAACAATCCCTACCTTGGCTTCATCTACACTTCCTTCCAGGAGCGCGCCACCTTCATCTCGCATGGAAACACTGCTAGGCACGCCAAGGGGCATGGCGACTTGAATCTGGCACAGGTTTGTGGTATCATCGCATCTGACGAAAAGCGGCATGAGACGGCCTATACTAAGATCATCGAGAAGCTCTTCGAGGTTGACCCTGATGGAACCGTGCTCGCCTTTGCCGACATGATGAAGAAGAAGATCTCAATGCCCGCCCATCTCATGTTTGACGGCCGCGATGATAACCTTTTCGAGCACTTCTCTGCGGTTGCGCAGAGGCTGGAAGTGTACACGGCCAAGGACTACGCCGACATTCTCGAGTTCCTTGTTGGAAGGTGGAAGGTGGAGGGACTCACCGGGCTCTCTAGTGAGGGAAAAAAAGCTCAGGACTTTGTCTGTACTCTGGTGCCAAGAATTCGAAGGATAGAGGAGAGGGCTCAGGGAAGGGCTAAGCAGGGAGGAACCATGCGTTTCAGCTGGATATATGACAGGGAAGTAAAGCTCTGAGCTTTTGGTTGTAATTGCTACGCTTTTATTAGTTGTTGGCGATAAGATTTCTTGTTTACTATTAATAGGTGGGTGAGAAGGTTTATAATTTCTGTCATGTTTTTCATCATAATTTTGAGTGCTTCTGTTCAATGGGTAGTAATGGTGGATTGCTGGGTGTGGTTGGGGAACTGTATGTGACGCTATGTTCACAGAGTAGAAGATTGGGTTGGTGTGTTTCAGAGCTGATGAACTTAAATGTTGGTATGTTTTATACAAGTACCCTTATTTGGAAATTTGTGGATCCATTGTAGATGAACTTAAATGTTGGTACTCTCTCTCTCTCTCTCTCTCTCTCTCTCTCTCTCTCTTTGGAAATTTGTGGATCCATTGTAAATGAACTTAAATGTTGGTACTCTCTCTCTCTCTCTCTCTCCTCTGATGGAAATTATCTAGGTTGTGTTTGTGTAGTAGTCTCTCTCTCCTCCAGGTGGAAGTGTGTAGATAGTATAAGTGCATTGTACTTTCGCTGGTGGAAGTTATCCAGATGGTTTAAGTGCAGTAGTCTCTCTCTTTCTCCTAATGGATTGATAGTAATAGTATATTTGCAGTAGTTTCTCTCTCTCTCCTTCCCTCCTAATGGAAATTTGTGTTGATAGTATATGTCTAGCAGTCTCTCTCTCTCCCTCGATGAAAATTATATAGATAATGTGTAGTACTCTTTCTCTCTCTCTCTCTCTCCCTAATGGAAATTATGTTGTTAGTATATGTTCAGCAGTCTCTCTCTCTCCCCCTTGATGAAATTATATAGATAATATGTGTACTCTTAAAGAAACAGAGGCGAGCTCTCGAGCAGAGAAGAGTAGATATGACGATGAACAGTAATTTCCCTTATTCTCATTGGTGAATATACATGGCTATATATAGATAGTCTAGTAGGTGAGTACACATGTGAGCTTAGGATAGGTAGTTACATAATAAAGCGAACCTAGCTAATACACAAGGTTACTAATAGCCCCCCTCAAATGAACGGATCTTGACTGATGGTGAGTTTGGATCTAGGTTTTTGAACCTTGGTGTGGAGAGCGGCTTGGTAAGTACGTCTGCAATTTGATCTTCCGTTTTGATTGGGAGAAGACGAAGGTGACCATTGTTAATGTGTTCTCGGACGAACCTGTGGTCAATCTCTATATGCTTGGTTCGCGCGTGAAACACCGGATTGGTGGCTAACGCGATGGCAGAGGTATTATCGCAGTGCAAGTCGACAGAGGCATCATGAGGGATGAGGAAGTCAGAGAGGAGACGTTTGAGCCAACTGGTATCTGCGGTGGCCGCTGCAAGAGCACGATACTCCGATTCTGTGGAGGACCGGGAGACAGTGGTTTGTTTCTTAACTGTCCAGTATACAAGTGTCGATCCAAGGTACGTGCAGTAACCCGAGGTGGACTTACGGGTGATGGGGTCGCTCACCCAGTCGGCATCGGAGTAGGTGGTGAGTATGAGATCCGATTTGAAGATGGGAAGACCGAAGTTGAGGGAGTCTTTGATGTAACGAATCAATCTTTTGAGGAGATAGAAGTGCACTGGCTGAGGGTCGTGCATATGCTGAGATATATTATTGACTGTGTATGCGATGTATGGACGCGTAATGGTAAGGTATTGCAGCGCTCATGTTATCTTCCGGTAGATCGTCGGGTCAGAGAGAAAGGAAGAGTCTGTAGTGAGATCTACAGGTAATTTGGTGCAAGACGGATTAGCGACAGAATTACAGGCGATAAGATTAGCTTGTTGAACTATGGAGTGTGCATATGATTACTGAGATAGGAAATACTTATCTTGGCGATGTTGAATCCTGATTCCGAGAAAATGATGTGCATTACCCAGTTTCTTGAGTGCAAAGGTGGAGTTGAGTTGTTGAAGAAATTGGGAGATGGCAGATTCATCGTTTCCGGGGACTAAGATATCGTCCACATAGACGAGTAGAAACATGGTGGTGTGACCTTGCCGAAATGTGAGGAGGAGTCCGCCGTGCTAGGTGTGAACCCGAGAGTGAGTAGATGACTGCAGAACGGAGTGTACCATTGCCTAGGCGCTTGTTTGAGGCCGTAGATGGTTTTGCGCAGAAGACAGACGTGATTTGGATTGGCTGCGTCTTCGAATCCCTTAGGCTGTCTCATATAGACAGTTTCCTGAATATTACCATGTAAAAAAACATTCTCAACATCGAGTTGATGTATCTTCCAGCCATGGTGAAGGGCAACCGTGAACAGAACCCGTATCGTGGGTAGTTTTGCGACCGGGTTGAATGTTTCACCATAATCGATCCCATATTCTTGCTGATTTCCCTGAGCTACCAGACAGGCTTTGTACCGTGCTATCTTGCCGTCGGAGTGCAGTTTTGTGCGAAATGTCCACTTACAGCCCAAGACAGGCGCATTCAATGGAGCTGCAACAAGCTGCCAGGTGCCCTATTTTTGAAGGGCAAGGAACTCTGCAGCCATAGCGTTTCGCCATTCGGGCAGTTTATTTGCATCGTTATAACTTGTAGGATCCGGCGGAGATACATCAGCTTGACTGAACATATTCATTTTGTGAATAGGTTTTAGAGAACCTGTTTGAGCACGAGTTAACATGGGATGTCGGTGAGTTGAATTGCGGGGGAGAGAGGAGCTGCTAGATGTGATCGGGTGCTATATCGAAGAGGAGATGATAGGTGTGGATAATGCTTCGTTGGGTTGAGATTGTTGCAGAGTCGGCGTTGTGGTCGATCTAGATTGATGATGATTATCTTGATGCAAGGTAGACGCCGAAATGAGAAAAGACGGAGGAAGGTCCGGCTGAACGGGCTGAGACTTGTGTTGGTCCATAGTTGAGAATGGGAAGGATGACTCCACGAATTGGACATGGCGAGAGATGATGACTCGATTTGTTTTTATGTCCAGGCACTTATAGCCTTTGTAATTGCTAGTGTAGCCTAGAAGAACACACGAGGTGGCATTGGGTTACAGTTTGTGCCTAGAATGTTTTGGGAGAAGCGGGAAGCATTCGCAGCCGAATGTGCGAAGTGAGTTGTAATCGGGATTAACATTGACCATGAGCTGGACAGGAGTAGAATTGTTGGTAGTAGGCGTCGGCATACGGTTGATTAGATGAGCTGCAGTGAGAGCCGCGTCAGGCCAGTAGGATGGGGGCATGGATGCTGTATGAAGAAGAGTCCAGGCCGTGTTAATTATGTGCCGGTGTTTGCGCTCAGCAGCACCATTTTGCTCCGGCGTATATGGACATGATAGTTGGTGCTGAATTCCTTTGGATTGAAGGAAGTGTTGAAATTGTTGGTTCATGAATTCGCTTCCGCCATCAGTCCGAACGGCCTGCACCTGAAGAGTAGTTTGTTTTTCAATGAATGTAATAAAATTTGTAAAGATTTTCGTAACATCTGTTTTTAATAAAAAAGGAAAAATCCACACATAGCGAGAGTAATCATCCATAATAAGAAAGTAATAGCGAAATCCTTGTTGGGACTGGACTGGAGCAGGGCCCCAGACATCCGAATGGAGAAGAGCAAGAGGAGTGCTTTTGCGATTTAAAGAGTTAGCGAAAACAAGTATGTGGCTTTTACATGCCTTACAAGAGTTGCAACTAATGTTCTTATTTGAAATACAAAGAGAGGGGTAAGCATGAGAAATAGTATCAAGAATGCGTTGATGCGGATGTCCGAGACGTTCATGCCAGTTGAATTTCTTCATCTGACTGGTAGCAAGGGCCATTTGTGCAGCTTCGGGTTTCTTGATGGAGAGAGGATAGAGTCCCGCTTTACAAGGTCCTTGAAGAAGCGTTTTGTGGGACTGTAAATCCTTAACAAGATAACCGTTAGGATCGAAAGTGATGGAAATGTGATTGTCAGTCACTAGATTAGAGATTGAAATCAAATTATGAGAGATATTAGGTAGGTGAAGAAGATTAGATAGAAGAAGCTTACGCTCGGGGGTGAGAAGAATTCCAGTGCCAGAATGAGCAATTGGAATGGATCTTCTGTCCCCAACCATGACGTGATCGGAGCCTTGGTAGTTCGAGGAATGGACGAGGTTTTCTTGGCCATGTGTCATGTGAGATGAGGCGCCGGAATCGAGATACCATTCCGTTGATGACTGATCAGATGCAGCTAGAAACGCTTGGCCGTTGGTGTTGGATTGAGATGGGGGTGTAGTATAATTCGGATTATGTCTATACCAACAGACGTCGGCGGAGTGTCCTCGCTTTGTGCATATCTGACAGATAATTGAGGATTTGGAACCTTGTTTTGGAGGATTTGGAGTGGCCGACGGTTGTCGACCTTGTCCTCTACGACCGCGACCGCGATTGGCGTATAGAGCGGTTTGGTTATCTGTCGTGATGGAGTATCGTTGAGAATCTTGACGTATATGAATTTCTTCGCTGATGAGCATGGCATAGAGGATGTCGAGTGACAGCAGAGTTTGCAAGGTTCTTATCGCCGTTTTAAAGGATTGATAAGGAGGCGGGAGATCGTTTAAAATATGTAGAATGATGTCTTCACTGTCAAGATTGCACCCTGCGGATATGATCGGATCTACTGTCTTCTTGATCTCTATGAGATATTCTTGCATAGACAGATTACGCATCGAGATGTTTTGGAGTTCGTTCTTGAGCTGCATTACCTTAGATCTGTTCGCAGACTGAAACCGAGTTTGCAAGGCATACCAAATTTCGTGCGTGGATTCAAGATGCATCACATATGGTAGCACCTGAACGGAGATGGTGGAAGAGATTGCAGCGGCGAGATTCCGATCGGTCAGGAGCCATTTGGTGGTTTCAGAATTAAGATCTGCTTGATCTTGATTAGAGATTGTCGGATTAGGAGGATCAAGAAACGATTCAAACCCGTTTGCCTTGAGCAGCTTGGAGACCTGATTTCTCCAGATTGGATAGTTATCCATAGATAGTTGATGCAGAACGAGGGATTTGAGATTGGATATGATGAACTTGAGAGATGGATAGAGAAGTGGCTTGTCCGATGTGTCGCTCACGACCGCCGTTGTGCGAGATGAAGCCGTAGCGGATGCAGAGGAGGCCATGGAGAGAAAAGAAAGAAAAAGAACTCAGAACCGGCCTGCTTCTGATACCATAAAGAAACAGAGTCGAGCTCTCGAGCAGAGAAGAGAAGAAATGACGATGAACAGTAATTTCCCTTATTCTCATTGGTGAATATATATGGCTATATATAGATAGTCTATTAGGTGAGTACACGTGTGAGCTTAGGATAGGTAGTTACATAATAAAGCGAACGTAGCTAATACACAAGGTTAC